ATATACATCAACATGTTTACTGTCAGGTTGCATTTTCCTGCGGTCTTCTGCATGAGCTTTGTAGCATTAGAGAATTATCACAACTCATAATTCTGTAATAGAACTAAATTCTTACAACTGGGGATTTGAAATTCACCTTCATCCTTAAAATGTTCCATGCTTAAGGCTGATTAATAAATAGTCAAAGCAGCAGTGAGAGTCTGAATGCATGATCTATGCATATGGAAAAATCCTCATCTAAATCTCAAGAGAAATGCAGTGACCCAGTCAAAATTTAAATTACTCAGAATGTCCCAGAGCTACACTGGCAGTGTAAATAGCACCCCTCTGTCTAACACCCTACATGTACTTCTGCAGATTTCTAGAGTGGTCCATGATTAGAAGCTGTAACTTTCCAGCTGTGGGTCTAAAGATGTAGGTTTGACATAACAGGCATATAAAAACCACAGTAGCTATTCACTAGGTTTGTTGGTTTTTTTTTTTAAGGCTGTCTTCCGTTCCCTTGGAATTAATGTCACAAACTGTCCCCTGCTTTATCTGAACAAGTATGATAATCAAGGAAGGAGACGGCCACTCAATGCATATGCACTGGACTTTTATAAGCATGGTTCCTTGATTGCATTGACAACTGATAACTGGTATGTAGTACCATTTTTAGTAAACAGCAGCATTGTTCACAATATGGTACATAATTACATCTTTTTGGTTTTAAAGCCTTCTCCCTCCAAAACTTAGGGGTGAAATAGCTGTTAAGTCTTATTAGTTGAGTGTTTAATATAGTATATGTTTTATTCTCATTAAAAGTCCAATGGCACATGGCTGTAAAGTATTAGCTGGGTATTCAGAACAGAACCATAAATACTAATTTCTTTACTTCAGTGACCCAGGCTCTTCAGAAGTGTGGTTTGTTTTTTTTTTTTAAATTAATTTAATCAAAGCTTTTTCACAAAGAAAAAGATCAGGAAAGTCCCTGAAACAAGGAAGCCCAATGCAGTAGTCTAGCAGGTGATAACAGAGTAGCAGAGAGATATCAAAAGCTTGGTCAAACAATAGATGGAACACTGAGGAAGGAATTCATGATCTGCGTTTAAAGATACCTGCTAAATGTGATGTCTGGTCATTTTCAACATTATCACTTTCACCTTTGAATCTCACTGGCCTTCTGTAACCTTGTTCATTAAATCCATCTCTAAAACTGTTAGTTTGTATTTCTTAATGAAACCCTTCACATATCTGTTTTAATCCCAACCTCAGCTCAAAAAAGTTCAACCACAAGCTTCCTCTCCCAACTCCTCTATCAAGTATCTTTATTTTGCTCTCAGCTCATAGCCAGTAACTTTTATTTATGAGTAATAAAATACCACCTCACTCTGCTCCCTGAGAGTGCATATATTACTATCTGCTTTTTTATAAGCTCTTCAAAGCAGATTCTAGTAAGAACTATTAGAACAACATTCCCTGCACTGTTGTAGTTACAATAGCAGAGTCTGGAAGTAATACCACATTATCAAGAGATGAGGATACATACTGATTACAGAATCACTGTTGTTGATTCTATCAAGCTGATCTAGTGAAAGATGTCCCTGCCACCTTTAAAAAATGTGTTAATTACTAGGAACCGAGTTTCTTTATAGTTGCTTTTCAGTAATCAGTGGTCCTTTGTGCAAAATAAAGGGTCTTCATCATCTGTAGAAAGCTTACACTATATCCTGCTCAATTTAGCCAGCAGATTAATCTGAAGTATAGTGTTCCAGTTTAGCTTGTGACAGGTTAGTTATTTGAACAGTTGAAACCATGTTCCCAAGACAACAGTTTCCATACAATCATGTGTCTCCACAGTAGCACTATTTTAAGCTTAGTTATTTTACAGTATTCCTAATGAACTAGTATGTTACTGTTTGAGGCTATGGCATGTCTCTCTGCATCCTTACCCAACCTACGTGGCAGGGTTTATTACAGGTGAAACACTATGTTACAGTGCTTATCCATTTGAATGTCTGTCTTTCTTTAGGTTAAATGAAGGAGATGCTTACTACGCACTCAAGGATTTTTCACTCCTCCTTAAGTCTATCGGGTATGATAAACTTGTGCTTTTTCATATACAATATATATTTCATCTATAAAGCAACTTAAAATGAAACAATTTTTTTTTCTTTTTTGTTTTTTTTAAAAAACCCCAGAACATCACTGAGTGAACTGTGCGATGATCCAAATGATAATGTTCTACTGGCATTTCAACAACTGGGCAAAATCTATGAAGAGAAACTGAAGTGTGTTAGCTGAAGAAAAAAGAAGGAAAACAAAAAGGCAGCAGCACATAATACTCTTACCACGTACATCAGCTGCATTTTTAGTTAGGGAGGGACTAGGTCCAAGTTATCAAATAATGTTTTACAGTAAAGTTTTAGGAAAATCAAATATTAGTAATAAAAAGCTTTCTTAAAATTAACCTTTACATGTTCGCAGTTCTAAAGTCAACTAAATAATTATTTATAATAGATTACCAAATTAAGTAATTGCACATATCTTTCAATTACTTTTTTTTTTTAGGCAGTGATATATTTATGTTAAAGACAGCTCTCGGAAATATACTGAGCAAATGTCACAGTTCTGACAGCTGGTGAGATTAGCCCCTCAGTAGGACAGCATTAGAAACTTTCAGCCCATTTGTGAATTACGATAAAATAAATTGTTCTAATTATTTTTCAAGGTTTCTATTAAGTAATGAAGTAGTATCTTTACAAAGTACTTTACATTATAAAAGCTTTTAAACTAGTCTGCAGTTCTAGTCAACAAAATTTTAAGTATATAAGCACAATGACACTAATAAAATGTTCCAACCATATGTAGAATTGCTTCATTTTCCATCTCTTGTATTCTTGAGTGAGAAAGATCCAGGACACCTCTAGCATACCTGTCAATAAGTCCCTTGCAATACAGATTACTGAGTTTTGTGAAATATGTTTCCTAACTCTTTTCCTGTTTTTTTTTTTGGTTGTTTGTTTTCCTCTAGGACAAGCATAGTTTTCAGAAGTCTTTTCATACTATTCCTGAAAATCTTAACACTAGTTTACTTGTAGTCTGAAAAAAATATATGCACACATATTAATGTTTAGATAACCTAGGAAAATTAGGCTTTGACACCAGTCCCCACTGCCACACACAATTTTATAATGATGACCAAGATGGTGATCTAAGTTATTCGCTATTGATATAAAGCAAAACATGCATTAAGGAAAATTCAAAATCCCATTTCTTCCAGTTAGCTCTGTGTTCATCAGACAATCACTGATGAAGTGTTTGACTTGAAATTTCTTTAGGCAATATTAAACTACATGCAACATGTTGCTAGGAGATACTGGAGGGAAAGCCTGTATGTAGTAAGGCAGTGCGCTGCTGAGCTACTATCAACTGACTTGAATTTTGTTTCACACATTAAAAAACTGGAAGGAGAAAAGAATTTATGACAGAAATGGAACACAGTGGTAGAAAAGACTGCTTTAACTCTACTTAGAAAATAAGATTTCCTCAAATTATTCCTTACTGTCTGGCAAATCATCTCATATGTAACAAGTCTTGCAGAACTAGGGTAAAAGTGACCTTATTGAGACCTTCTCACATTCATGTTTCCTTATATAAATGGAGTAATCTTTTCAGCTAAGACACAATTAATTGACCAAGGAATAAAGCCAGAAATTGGACCTATTGTGTTCTCAGTTACTTGACCAGTAAGCATGAAATCCTGGGTGAAAACCAAACTTACTAGCTCTTGTCACAGGGTACTTACTAATTTTATATGCTGAAGACTGTAATGCCTCAAAACATTAGTAACAGCAGTCAGCATTTTACTTTTAATAATGTGTATAAGAAGTGCCTCACTCCTGTTATGGCTTTTAGTTAAGAGTCAATAGTGAATTAAGTCAAAGTGACGAACGAATTAACTTGTGAAAATATCAGAAAAATATAATTTTGCCCATTTACTATCTGGGTGGACTGCAATTTTACAGTGACCTATTGTAAATAAAACATCCTGCTTACCATTTATCTCCCCTGTAAAACATTAATGCTGAGCTATAAATGCACATAGAAAACAACTTGCCATGCCTGAAAAGCAGTCCTAGGACTGTACTGAACCCACGCACCACCAACTTCGGCTTTCAGAAACAGTGTATCATAGTCTGGTTATTTGCTTTACCAGTCTATAATGGTATCTTTTCACTAAAAGAAAAAGTTAAACTTTAAAGCAGAGACTCTAAACTCTCACAAAACACTATAATAGAAATGTAAAAAAGATATGTTGATGATAAGCAATTTTAAGAAACCCTGTAAGGTTTCTGAATAATCTTAACTCATTAGGATTTTTTTTTGTCACCAAGAAAAACATTTTCTACAACCTTCTGGCAACAAGTTTTGTAGGTGCCTTATCTGTCTCTAAAACTGTTCCATTTCTCTTGCTTTCACTATAGCAAGATCAACCACCATCCACAACACATTATCATCATCATCATCATGGTCAGCCTTTTTCTTCCAGTAATTTAACTTAGCACCTTTTTAACACTTCTCTCAACACTAACATGCTGAAGAACATGACAAGAATGTCTACAGATAAAATCAGAACAATTTTTAGGAGAAAACTGAAATACAGTAGGTTTTTAACAGATGAGCATAAGGAACTAAGAATAAAGTAAAACTAAGAATAAAGAAAATTTTCATCACTGTCCTTACTATAATGAAGATACAATGGGAAGATGAGAAAGTGTTATAAATTCTAGAAACTCTTTTTCAGCTTATTTAATAGGAATAAACTGCCACAGAAAAACAGGCCAAGAATTTAACAGTAATCAAAATTAAGCCAACATTTCCTAAACCAATAATAGTATTTTAAAGTATTCTTCACAGTAAGTATATTGTTAAGCCTTGCACAGATTTAAATTTTAACAGTATTTCTTTTATGAAGTTACATGATGTTACAAAGAAAATTTGATTATTTTTTTTTTTTTTTTATTAAGAAGATTACTACCTAGTTGCCAGTGAAAAATTCTGAAGGCATATTAAGCATTCTGCATTCTGGTCTAATACTTGCCCGTTGACATAGCTACTTAATGCAGGATTAATTTATTTAAAATCTGGCACCAGGTCTTGCTGGAAAATGAACATTAAACGAAATAGAGCTTTAATCTCAAATAATACTACCATCTGCATATTCTAATAGCTAAAGCATAATTATCTCTTGTATGCAACAAAACAGTTAATAATTAGAAAAGATGGTATTTTTATCTTCACTTTGTATCCTGTTTCACAGACTAAAAATTCAGTGAGTTCTGGATCATTAATACAGCAAGAAGGGCCATTCTTTTTTCCTGTCCTTATACAAATATTTAAAAGAGATTTTTTTGTTTTAAAAGCTAGATTCTCCTAATGCTTTCAGCCAAACAGCAGGTTAGTATCCGTCCACTGAATCCCAAACTGTTGCCAACAGGAACTGAAAATTAATTGTGACGGTTACTTTTCATAAAGGCAGCATTTCAGAAGTGTAGCTGACACCCTTCTGCAATGTATGACAAGAACACTGATGTGGTGTTTCGATTTCGAAAGCATAAGAGAGTTATTGAAATTACACTAGAAGTTGCACCTTCAATATACATTAAATACATACTGGAAAAACAAAACAGCCAAAGGGAGATACGCAAAAGGATTTTCAGTAATGCCCTTCACCATCTTTTATTTTCCCCATAGCTCTCCTCCCTCCCTGCCTGACCATGCAGTGGATGTTACTGTCTGTACTCTCCTACTGACTTAACCCTAGTGCAGGTGCTTCTGTACCAGAAAAACAACACTGCTTCCTGTTGCTGAGGCTTCGATGAACCTCCTTGATGGGACACCTGGGTCCTCCACCATGAACACGCACCCTAGTGACACTTCACAGAAGGTCTGCACCCTTAAAGGTACAGCATATATGGTCATACTTGAGTCTTTAACAGACATAACATTTTTGGTTGTTTTTTCAGTTGATAAAAATCACTTTAGTACACTATACCTGCTGATAAGCAGTTATGTTTCTAACACAGAGATACCTCAACTGGCAAGAACCAGGGAGAACAACAGCTGTACAATCACAGGTATCCCACTTTTTAATGTGTTAAGTAGCATTTATTTAATTCCAGATTATTTAAGTATCGTTATCTTCCATTTAACTTTCTTTTCATGTCTCTGATTTTCTCCTAGTAGATATTTTGTCTTCGGCAACAGAAAAATATTCTGATGCACTGCTGGTATCAGTAGAGATGGATGTTTGACTTAGCTCTTCAGTGTCAGAATCGCTATCACTTGGCATTCCTCCTGCCTCATCTACCGTAAGCACAGAACCTCCTAATGATGGATCGTTGCATGTGCCAGGAACAGAACAAGCTGCATTCTGAAGCTCTACAGACTCAGGTTCACCTTCCTTCCTAGAACAGGAACAGTTGTTTTCAGCAACAGCTTCACTTTCTTCATCTTTTACCTTTGTTTCTTGTTTTGTTGCTGCAATAACTTGAGTGGAAGATGCATTCTCGTATTTAACAGGAAGGACAACTGAGCATAGAGGCTGACTACAAGAATTACTATCGGCAAGCATTTCCGCACTTTCAGTTTTCTTAGATGAGTTCATAGGAAAGAATGAACCTTCACATTTTGGATTACTGTGTCTAGAAACAGGCTCTGTAAGCTCTGAAGATACAGGCTTCCCTAGATTTAGAGGTGTTTTGTTTGAAGATTTCATCTTCTCTTTTTCTGTTTTTTCAATACCATTTCCAGACAAAACCACTGAGGAAGTCAGCAAATCAGAGGTATTTCTGACAATATTTCCAAAGGAAAACACTGGTGAAGGCAACTGAAAACTGGTATTTTTGAAGGAAAATACACAGTTAGTGGGGAGAAGGGGGGACTCAGAGACACCATTCACTCCAGGTGCAGTGCTGGTTTCCGAAGTACTGCAAGCTACAGTTGTGATGGATTCTGAGGCATTAGCTTTTTGTTCCCATGAGACAGCTGGTTTCTGCATACCATATTCTGCAGCTTCCGTTGCAAAAAGTGTTTTTTCTCTCATGGGAAATGATGTGTTTTTGTCAGATGGCTTCTCAGATTGGCTAAAAAGTGAGGATAATGGCAAAACCTTAAATGAATTGCTGACTCCAGATCCTATACAACAATCTCTTTCTGAATTGCTAAAGGGAAACAAAAAATCTGGCTTCTTGCTTTCTGCTGAGTCTAAATTAGGACTGGTTGAAGCATCAGAAACTGTGGCTTTGATTAGAGGACCATGTTTTCTAAATTTGCTTTCATCCTGGTCATCGGTTTTATCTGCGTGATCACATTTTCCTAGATAAAACTGAGGGAAAACATATTTCCTGTCTTTCTTTTTAAAGGAAAATGTACCTGTACCTTTAATAAATCTGGGTAATGAGTTGTTACATGCACTGAAAGCAAAAGGTGAAGCAGAAAGTCTCTCTGCAGAAACATCTAGAAATTCTGAATTTGAAACAGTAACAGCTACTGATGTTGCTGGTTTTAAGCCAGTTGTAGTAGAATTTGCATCCATTTCACTGGAAACAGTAACTGCTGATGACTGCATTGGCAATTTTTCTTTAACTACTAAATCTTTAGAGTTTTCTGATAAGGCTGGAGTAGTTACTTCCTGGGAACTTCTCTCATGAAGTAATCTTAAGTCATCATTTGTTTCAGAGAAGTTCACATTTGTGGATGGGATACTGTGATTACTGGTTCCAGAAAAGCTTCTCTCAGAGCCATCTGCTCTATGCAGGGTTCCCATTTTTATTTTATTTGAGTTATTTGCTTTAGTAGGTGAAGATACAAAAAGAGTTCCTGAGGACCTACCCTTCAAAGCCTCAGCAGTTACAAGTTTATACTTTTTATTTGCAGGTAAAGTTTTTGTCTTGAAATGATCGGTGAACTTCTGACGTTCCATATAGTATTTGTAACGTAACTCCTACAATTACAGCAAAGAATCCCATTAAGTAAAATGTTATTTGTGGATTCAGATGTTATAAAACTCATACAATCTAAGACTGAAGAAAAGTTTTCATATACCCTATAACATTTATGATGTACTTTTCCATTGCTTCTAGAAGGCAACAGAACACAAATCATTGTGGAAAAAAAAAGGTTCTTCAAAAACAATCGAACAAGATACACATGGAACCCCAATGACAAAGTAGGTTTTGAGCTAACAGACTATAGTAAACTATATTTAAAGTCACTGCCAAAACCAGAAACAGCTAAAAATAGTTGATTGGACATTAAGTGACAAATTCTCAAAACTGTCATGAGAAGTAGTCATCTGAAACCAATTTAGGTAGTGGGGTGGTTTGTTTGCGCATTTTTTACTAGATACAATAACTACATAAATTGTATTCTCAGTGGCAATAGAAAACAGATGTTCTCCAAAATAATAGAGCAACAGAAAAATAGTTCTATATTTCAAGGACATAAGCAACTTCTTAATTTAATCATCTGCCATGAGTATTCTCAGAAGATACATTATGCGATTCACTGCCAGCCATGCTTCACCAACTGTAGCTAGAATCATTCTGTACAGAATACTCTCTCAGCCACCCATGTGGAACTTCAAGTAAGTGGAAAAAAAATCTAGTTGTATAACTAGATCATTGGAAATGAAACAGAAGAAATTGGATTGTAGGTAGTCTTAGAAGAACAAATTCTATTATCTTCAGAAAACAGGACACAGGCAGATGACTTCCTCTTCAAACAGGCAATACAGAAGCTTATTTGGATTAGAGAGCTACAGATGTGACTCAAAGTCACACTATAATCTAAAAATAAGTATTTGAAGTCAGTACTAAGATTAAGTTCCAGCTTTCTGAAGAAAAAAGAAAAGAATAAAATCTTGACAGCTTTAATAACCTAGTCAGAATTATATTCTACAATTGGAAGGGTAACTTCCTACTAAGAAAACTAGGAAAGATTATAAAAAGCTTATTTAGGAAGTTGTGATACAACAAATAGTAACACCCATACTTACAACAGACGTTCAATCATACCTCATGACTCATGTTTTGAAATGCTGACATTTCTGATATTGACATTAAGCGAGTAGAAATCCTGCTACCATCTGCTAGTGCTTCCTCCTGTCCTGCTACAGGCTGAAAAATGTTTTGCAGTAGACATTATAGTTCATTTTGGTAAGACAAAATAAACAAGATAGGTACAGTGTTGTAAGCTCATAGTCAGCAACTTACAAGAAATACGTTGGGTATATGCCTCTGGTCCTGCCATTCCTTTATGTTATTTTTAAATAGAGTATTTTTTGCTGAGTTCTCATTTCCTCCAGATGGTAGATCTATTAAAAAAAACACAATACTGATGGAGAGTATATTAAGTATGTAAAATACGGAAAGTTTCTTGTGCATCGAAACATAGATTCCAATTAAGAACAGAAGTGTATTACCTTAAGTGAGGCCCTAGCACTTGTTTAAACTTCTGTGAAATAAAGCAAGAGGCCTGTGTAGGAAATCTTCTAAATACCTGAAAATGCCTGCCCCAATACAAAAATTTTCTCCTATGACATAAAAGCACTTAATCACAGCACAGTTAATGTTCATATTCTACTACAACAAATGCCCATCTGGTTCAGCAACACACTTCTGATAGTGGTGATACTGGTTGCATAGGAAAATTATAATGATACTTCCCTCAGCTTCCAAAAAATATGGCCTAGGGACTTTCCAGAGAAAATGCATGCAGAAAATGTATTTAAAGGCCCTTGATGAATTTATCATCCACTAATTGGCTCAGATGCTTTCTGAACACTTAAATAATCTGCATGGCAAAAGTATGCATTAGCAATTAGTTCCACAAGTTGCAGGTTCCTAGATTGACTTCCTGAATCTTGTCCTATATTAAGTCCTTCTTCCCTACCTTTAACAATGCCTACATTAACAGGCATTAACTTCAAAGCCAAGATTTCATTAACCACAGGTTTGATATCCATCTTCTTTTGGGTATACTCTGGTGGTTTTTCGTAGCTGGATGCTATATTCATCAGGTCAAGCTGAGTTTTCATTCTGGAAAAGGAAAAAACCCAAACCTAAACTTAAAATACTTTTCTTAAGGCTCACTTGCCAACAACTAAATTACATGTCTAGTACAAAAAAAAAATTCTGGAAAAAAATCCAAAACACTAAGAGAGAAGAAATCAGAAAAAGCTAGCCTTCAATAAAATGCCATGTTTCCTAGATTTTTTGCCTAAAACTTACTACTTGACGATTCACTTAAATTACGCTTCATACACAATGAAAGTTCCAAGTAGTAGTGCCTGTAGTTCCACAACAAGATTTAAAAAAAACCCCACTTTTCTTAGTGTACTATATGTGAACATAAATTATACCCTTTCTTCAGAGGACATTACTCATGTTAGTATGAACCACAACATATTTTAAATAACTCAAATTCCAATATTATTTCTTAAAACTCTACTTAAAAAGTGATAAGAAAGGTAATTAAGAATCCTTAGAGAGAAATACACAGGGTATGTGTGCTGCAAACACAAGAATTGAGACACTGCAGAATCTCCACATGCTCTTAGACTTAAAAGATTTCTGTAAAAGCTCCAGGCATGCTTCAGTGTTCCTGAGTTTAAATAAGATACCTGAAAACACCCAATCACCATGTATTAATGAATTCCTATACTCAGGGAGCCAATTCAAAAGATTATCTCTAATCCCAGATAGTAAATCACAAAAATTTGACACATTTCCTAAAATTTGGAATGCCGAGCATCCAAAAATCTGAAAGCATTATAATATCTTAATTACTAAATATTATTCTCATTTTAAGATGCTGTATCTGACTATATCTTAAGATTAAAATTTAAGAAAATAGTTACTTTAAATTACACTAGAGATCTAGCAAAGCATAAAAAAAAAAATATATACCTTGTATTCAAGCCACAGGCCACCTATAAATAAAACAAGAATTTATAAGATATAAGTTTTCCTCCAATTCTCAAAAGGAGATTATTGCTTTATCAAAATACTTTAATAGACACTGAACTCCCCATCTTCATTTCACAGAACTGTAGGAAATAAACCTGTTATTATTAAAAAGGAGCATCTAAATGTAAAAAAAAATAGTATGTCTAGGATGATGATTTATCTTGTAATATTTTGTGCTAAAAGACAAAATGAACTCCTTCAGACCCAAATGAAGGCATTCAAATCATGACTCATGATTATCTAATCCATTTCAGATGCTCAGATATTTGTAAACATTCAAATGAAAGACTATTTTTGTATTTCTTGGTGACATACCTGCTCTCAAGATGCTATTGGACCAAGATTAAAAGAAAAAAAGCTGTCCTTTAGTATTAAATCAGCCAGATAATAGCAGTGTGAAGTGCACTGCACTGTAGGCAAGTGACACTTCCCAAAGAATGGGTAATGAAAAGTAAAAAAATGCTGCTTCCCTACAAAAAACCTGATCTCACTGTACTGAATCTTAAAACAGCCATCACCCACCTCACTGAAATGAATTGTGTATTGTTATGAGGCATAGGCAAGCAGGTGCTAAATTTAAAGCATACTAATCACTGAATTCAGAATATTTGTTCCAGAAGTGGGAGTTGCCTTTACTTTGGGCAAAAGTGAATTTTTCCTTAATGAGTTGTTAACAGAAGTTTAGTTGAACTCAGTAATTTCTTAGCTTCTCATTGATCTGAAGGCAGCAAAAAGACCCACTGCAGAAAACTGCAATATGGTGTGGTTTCTTAGGAAAGCATAAACCTTAAAGAAAACACAAAATTCAGTAGTTTAAGTACTTTGCCCAAAATCTACCATCTGCCTTAAATCCATACAACTGCAGCCACAGTGTTTGACATAAGAGATGAAAAGGTGTACACTAGCTTAGGTAACAGTGAAGATTAAGCTTGTGATGGGTTCCCTTAGCATTTATCTCCAAATCAGAAACAGTGTTTTTCTCTGCAGTTCCCTTAAACACTATGACGAAGAGTTTCAGGGTCTTGTACCCAGCAGTGTATATATTGCATAGCACAGTATATCAGAAGTACCTAAGCTATGTTTGAACAGGCTGATTTATCTCCATTGCACACCTCGGTGCAAAGTTTACGGCAGGTTTTAAAAATCAATATAATCACCTTAGCTCAGGTATCCCAACACCATACTCCACTGTGCACCACAGACAGGTTATTTATTCTGGCTCCAATCTTTCACCAGAAAGCATTTTTCATGTCTTACAAGTTTAAAAATGCAATGGAAGTGCTTAATGCCCAAAACAAAAAAATAAAAAGAAGATATGAAAAAGCAAATAAACATGAAACAATTCTGAAGTCATTAATAGTAAATAACTCCCTACCCAGCATCAAGGCAGCTTACTTTCACAGCTGGTAGCATAATAAAGCAAGTGTGACAGCAACTGCTATACAGTCAATATTAATTTCATTAGTTTTCAGTGAAGAATACAAGTGTCTACTCATAAGCTGCAAAGAAAGCTTTTAAAACTTTTCTAAAATGAAAAGCAGTTATAAAAAAGTAGGAAGTGTTAGATAATGTTAGTCTGTATTTTTTGTTTGTTGAACTTGTTTTTTCTGATCAAGTCATTACTATAATCATAATCTACAATATAGCAGGCTCTATATGTCATTAGACAACTGATATAAAATAATAACAAGAAGCCCATCACCTCCAGGAAACGCTGAGGATCACACTCATGGACAAGCTTTTCACAATCCTTCAAAAAATTCTCAATGGTCTTCTTGTGCGTCTCCTTCATTTTCTTCCAAATCTGAAATTCTTTCTCTTTCTTACTTCTTTGATTTTCAACGTCTTCTAGCAATTGCTGTTTCTTCATTTCCAGAGTTTTGAAAATTTCTCCAAATTCCAGTGCAATTATCTCTGCATCACTGCTCAGCAACATCTAGAAACAGAATATGAAAAGAGATGAAAATGCAATAGCAATGTCTACATGGAGCCACTTCCCTAAGTAAGTTCAGCACACATCTGTGCCACAAGAAGCACTAGTATGCTCCATGTTGTGATTAACCTATCCTGAGAACACATACACATACATATATATTTATAAAAAAAATCCAGCATCTGCAACTCACTTCCGTATCATTCGGTTGACTTGAGATTTCATTCATCAGCTTCTCATTTATTATTCTCATTTTTTTCAAACTGCTGAAGAAGGTTAACTGCAAGAAAATTGAAACACTTATGATTTTATCCACTCCATAAAATAAATACATTTCAGTGGTTATCCAGAATCACATTAGAGGATGTTCTGTACAACATATTAAACAAAGGCTGTAATCCTAAGCATCACTTAACACTTTCCTGGATCAGTAACACAAACTTTCTTTTGCCATTTCTCTCTCAAATTAATGTTTTCAGGCTCACCTGCAATACATACTGCTATAATGACTACAGTGTTACTTTACAGTTAAAACGTTTTTTCCCCCCACCATTGTTATTAACCCTCTTCCCTCACACACACCTCTCAATTAAGTTTTAATGCCGCTATTCCAGTTTGACAAGCGACTGTGTGATAATAATTTTTTTTATGCCTCACACTGATAAAATAGAAAGCTGTCCATAACTCAGTTATTCCTGCTTGGTTTTAAACTAAGATGATCACAGTTTTTACCTCCTTTACCTCACTGCAGCATCACTTAATTTTTACGTAGAAAGTCTAGTGCAAAGACTGTTTCCCCCTAGTTTCCTGAGTCACACGCAATTGGTGATGAGAGAGACAGGAGGGAAATCAGTTCAAAAGCAACTTCTGGCTGTAAAGGTCTGTGCTGTACTTAAAACTTTTATACCTATACTCATCATTACTTCCTTGCGGTTGCTTCACTTCCTGCAGAGCAGAACCACTGCATGACATGCCACTCTGCACTCAGCTGGCATAGGGCATGAAAAGCTCATTCTACCCAGCTGATAACGATTTTGGCAAAACACAACTACTGCTGCTACAACCAGCCAACCAACCATTAGGCTAGGCAGTTGCTTTCTTCATGCAAACGGGAATGTATTTTGATTTTATGTTTATTAAATTATTACTTGCCTAAACCATGTATTTCTAAATACGTAATTATCTCTGACCCAAATTTACCTATGTCATCTCAGAGAGCCTATAAACAAAATATCTGTGGGTGGAGTTTCTTTTTGTTAGTAGGACTAACACCTTCCTGAACTTGGAAAAAAATGGATGCAGACATGCAATAAACTCTTTGCATCAGTGTGGGTTTTTTTCAGCACAGACTGCAAATCTCTGTATTAAAAAACCCCAAATCTCTGTATTAAAAAAAACCCAAACAAAACAACAAAAAACAAGCAACCAAACCAAACAACCTAAATAAAAAAAACAACCCCAAGCTCTTCAGGTGCTTCGGTAAACTGGGTTCGGATCTGTTGATGCTATAATATCGTCTGGCCCCCTGTACGTGTTGGGCTTCCAGCAGGGGCAGGCACACAAACAGATCCCGAGTCCCGGCTCACAGCAGCACACTACCTCGCTCCCTCCTGCCCGCCACGCTGCGTTTCGGAGTAAGAGCAACCCGGGCGCCTGGGTTCCCCTGAAGGACAGCCCGACCTCCCAGCCGGGCCCCGCCGCGCTTACTTTTTCCTCCTGGTACACCGTGTCTATGAGGTTGACTGAGTGGAAGATGCCTTGGTGGTCCTCGGAGACGCACTGCCCGCAGCCAGCCTGCCGGCACATGCGGCAGTAGAGCTGCACCAGCCGGCTCGGATGCTTCTGGCAGGTTCCTCCGAGCACCAGCGGGGAGAACAGGCCAGTCCCCTGGGCCTGCTCTGCCTCCCCCGCCTTGGCAGCCCCTGCCGTGCCAGACCGGTAGAGCTTGACCACCTCGGCCAGGGTGGTGTTGACGGGCAGCGCGGCGGCCCCGCCGCGGGGCAGCGGGCACAGCTTCCTGCAC